TCTTTCTCACGAGTTGATCCAGTTGATCGCCTCCTGTGGCCTTTCGTGTTTTGTTTTGGCCTCCAGTGTATCCGTGAAACGAAACTGAAACTGGTTTGAAGCCGGATTTTTTTTTTCCCCACCCTCTTAGCAGAGGCGGGTGGCTGTGCTTTGTTCTGTTATCAGGCGTGGCTGTCCTTTCCGATTGCAAAAAATTCGGGTAGAGAGAGGCCTGGGGGCTACGAGGAGGTGCAGCTCGCAGCCCAGGACTAGTAGGGCTACAGGATAGCATGGGCGTCCGTGGTGCTGCGCTCCCATCCCAGGGCCTGAATCCACCATCTTCAGCCTTGAACCCTTTCCCTCGCGTCCTCCTTGCTGGGCAGGGGCTGCCACCGCTCCCCCAGGCTTGGGCAGCCCTGGTTACCTGGCTGTCCTTCACCAGGGCTACTCAGAGCCCTTGGTGGAGGTTGCGCTGACCAAAAACCTGCTGGATAGCAAAGAAAGAAGTAGGCAGTGTCGTGGGGGTGGGGGGGAAGGCTGGACACTTGTTCTGCTCTTCTGTGAAATGTAGGTAGAGAGAGCAACGGGACGGGGACGTGCCTGGGTGCCGAAGCTGCGCTCTGGCTTGAGTGTGCAGCGAGATTAAACATCAGCGGCTGAAATGGGAGTTACGCTCTGTTTTGTTTCAGGTAGCAGCTACTGCCCTTACTGAAATGGCAGCCGCTTCTCTGAAACCGGAGTTCCAAAAAAAGAAGAAAAAAAAAGCATTTCAGCAATCTGGTCCGGGCAAGCAAAACAACTGTGCAAAGCCAAGCTCTTGCGCCGGGACAGGGCTTACCACGTCTTTGACGACTGCCGTGTGGTTGGTGGGGGAGTAGCTTGCAAGAGGCGTTTTTGAAAGGTCTCTCTAGCGTGATCGGGGCGGGCAAGGCCAGCCCTGTGGCACTCTGATACGGGCCGAGCGTTAGAGGCCTCATACTGCGCGGTTGCGATGGTGAAAGGCCAAATATGAGCGGCATGTATTTTGAGGGGAAGACCGTGCAAAGACCAGTTTCTTCCTGCTCCGCTGACGTGCTGCATTTAGTTTCGCAGCCTTTCATGCTCCCCTGAAAGTCTGCAATTTCCTTCTTCTCAGCTCCTTGTCTTGTTTGTTTTCTTGTCAACTCAAAGAAGACGAGGCATGAGCCACATCTTTAAGCTAGCATCCAGCCAGCGGTAGTGCAGTATGGCAGTAAATTATGCAATTGCTTCCTGTGTTTCTGCTGCATACGTAGCTGGTATTTTCCCTGTAACTGCGTCAGTGAGACCTCAGCGTTTAACTGGCCGGGCTCCAGCATGGCAAATCTCCCGAGATGAAACAATGTGTTTGTGAATTCATTAAAACCCCCTGTATGCTGGTTTCTGGGAAGGTTTGCATTGACCTTTGGCTTATGTCGAGAGCAAAGGCTCTTTAAAAAAACAGGGGAGGAACAGAAGGGTTGTTTTTCCCACTTATTTCAAGTTTTAACTCAAATTAAGTAGACCAAAAAAAAAAAAAATCCTCCTTCTATACTGTTGCTATGGCT